ATATATATATATATATATATATATATATATATATATATATATATATATATATATCACTACTTGATTTAGAGTTTAAATATATGCCCGATGAATGATATAAAGTTATGGTTTCCTTTTTACTTTAGTTACTAATTGTGCATATGTTTCAATCAAGCTCCTATTTGATTGTTAGCAGAAACATAGATGCTTCATTTGTTTGATGTTTTTATAGTAGGATTTGCTTGTCTCTTACGGAAGGTTGTATCTTGTACATGGAGTTTGGTTGATATTATTATTTCCTGTATTTTGGCTTCACTAACTTTCACTTCTTCAGTTCTTTGTGTATTATAACATCACATTTTAGTTTCATTATATTACAACATTGTACTTTCAAATATTTTTCTTATTAATTTGTTGTTATCTACCCAATTATAGCATTGTACTTGATATTTTGCTTATTATACTTGGAAAAATCTACTCAATTGTAGGACTGAAATATACTTTGTAGTTTAGTGACATTGCTATAATTGGGTAGATTCGTGAAATAAAAGTAATAAAGATATGAATGACTATTTATTGTGTTTAACCTTAATAATAGTTACAAATTTTGTATTGTTTATATAGACGAGGGAGCATTTGGTAGATATTCATGTAAAGTTGATCTGTGTTGTCTTCACTTCAGGATGAAGCGTAAGAAAGGCCAATTTGTAACATCCCAAAAGGAAAAGGAAAAGGAAAAGGAATCTGGTCCCTGGAACACTGCTGCAGAGGCTGAGGGTGGAGCAGAAGATGAGATGGCAGTCACAACTATGTGAGTTATATAAGTTTTGCCTCATTAATTATTTATCCATGCATGTATAAGTTAATGGGAATGTCAGAATATTAATACTAATTTGAATGGGTGTTGGTGTTCAGATCATGTGGTCATTGTGGTATTTGGTCCAAGGACACCCCTATGATGCGACGAGGCCCAGATGGTCCTAGGACTCTTTGCAATGCCTGCGGACTTTTCTGGGCAAACAGGGTTCGCATCTTTCATTTTTCCTGGTTTTTAAATAAATTATTTTACTATTATGCCAATGATAAGATCTTTTGCACACATGGGAAATTAAGAGTGAGCCTAAACAAACACCACCCACCATAATTAAATCATCTTCTTCCCCATGCTCCTAATGGTTGCAAACAAAGTACCAATTTTCTTTATACCAACCACATTTAGGCTTGCAAGCCTGGCAAATTGCAATACCATGTATATGTGTATTTTGATATCCTACAACAAAACAAAAATAAATTATTATCTCTTAATTGATCATCACATTTACTTATTAATTTATTTATCATACTAATTTACTATAATACAAATATTTTTGTACTATGTAGCACAGCCATAACGATGAAATATTTCATGTTTAGCGACAAGTTAATACAAATCAAATATATATAGTTTCCTTAAACTATCATAGCATTATTTATAATTCATTAAAGTGATTATTATAGTAATTATAATACATAAAAGTAGCATTATGTAGTTTCCTATTTGGGGATTGAGGTCACACACACGGTGTACATTTTAACAACTAAACACAAATATATTTTGCATTTTGGTCTCTGAGTACAAACTTACTATTATGATTTAAAAAACTTCCTGACAGGGCACAATGAGGGACCTTTCAAAGAAATCCAGTGATCATTCTTCTTCTCTAGCTCAACAGGTCTACAATTGTAAGGTACTATAATTCTTCCTTGCTAGGCCATTTACACATATCACCATTATTATGCTGCTCATACAATAAATCTCTTTTTGCCTCTAACTATCTCCAAGAATACCAAGGTGGCGTTTGGTTTGTAGAATGTTCTTTTTAAGAAATGGAATCCGTTAAAGAAATTGGAAATTGAAGAAATCACAATTTGTGAGTGTTTGGTTGGCAGGAAATGGAATGGAATTTACTAATAAAATTTAAAATTTTATTTTTATAGATATATGTTGTTCATCTATAATTGAGTTTTTGTTTCTATTTATTACAATATACACTGAGTGTATTTTTGTCTTTTAATAAAAAAATAAATACTGAAATTGGGTTCCTTCCATCACCTAGGAATGGTGAAATCCATTGGATATGGAGTTCAAAAGATTTTGATGGAAATGAGTTGTGTCTAGGGCTGCAAACGAGCCGAGCCGAGATCGAGCCTGACCAGGCTCGGGCTCGGCTCGTTTAAATATTTATAGGCTCGAGCTCGAGCTCGGCTCGTTTCGAGCCTTGTGGTACAAAGCTCGAGATCGGCTCGTTAAGAATTGTACGGGCTCGGGCTCGGTTTGGGCTCGGCTCGTATACGGTATACTGTAATTTCCTAAAATGGTATTTATTAAATTATTATTTATTTTAATATATAAAAATAAAAATAATTTTTTTATTATATATA